ACTTCCTATTATTTTATTTGGATTGGTATTATAGTTGTGAATTCTCTATTGCAGAGATAGACTGTAATGTCTCTTCCCCCTTCTGCTTTAATAATATTCCTGTCATGCGCTGAATGTAGATTAACTAACAATGAATGGTTAGCACCGTAGTACTCCGTACTATAGCACAATACATACGAAGTGCATGTGTATGGTTATAATAATTCCAGCCGCCACCTTCGAGGACCCTCCAAGGGTATCTTCTAAATATGAACAGCGTTACATTGGAGTCAGGCGACGGAATATCTCTGAATGTCACATCACATCTCATGTACTCTAGCATATATTGTATTCGTCGGCTAGAAAGGAAAAACGAATTTGACCTAATATGCGATACCAGTGCTGGTGTAAGCCGAACTCTTTTCTTGGCGCACTGGCTGGCCCTTATTACATGGCATGGGACGGAGGACCCTAGCCAAGCTGGTAGTGGCGTTGCAGAGCTTCAATTTCTGAGGCTAGAATATAGATTCACTAGGTAGAGTCATTTACCCACTTTACAAAATCCACCCCCTTCGAAACTAGCTATGCCGCACCTCACCGAAACATAGTTTTCTTCGCATTATTCTATGCTATTTTATTTTATTTTATTTTATTTTTGGTGCCTGCGTCCGTTCAACAACTTTGTATAAAGCCAGAGTGTCCAGAAACTCAACTTTCTACATTGTAGTTCTAGATGAAGATCATTACATCCCTCCCATATTAGAAAGATATATAAGATAGTATAATAATAGAAAAGGACACCCTAGAGGGCATCTATATACCTATTAAAGTAGTATAGTGCCTAATATATAAAGCTTTTTAGTAATAAGGTCCTATGTGGCCACCTGCTTTAAGATACTTACCATATTCCAGTCAGCCTGGAAGGGGTTTAGTAGCTTGAAGAAGGCTTTCATAATAGCAATGTCAGGACAGGTCCACGCATACACTATTATCGCAATGTGAACTATAGAGTAGACGGCAAACACATATATATATGCATGCTGTAGACTAGGTACGTCGAGCTTCTTGTACCACTTGAACTCAGCCTTGTGCTCTTCTGGAGACCTATGTCTGTGCTGCCATCTTCGCAGCACGGCAGAGAACACCACCATTAACACGTTGACCAGCAGTAGTGCAAACTGCCATAGTATGATCCAATTCTGTTAGGCATGGAGGTTGGTTATTGGCGAGAAGAACATGATTATTGGTAGTATAAAGCCCAACATGACAGCAGGACAAGTGATATGGCTACTTCCTTGGGAATAGCACGGCTGGGGATGCTCTTAGTTCTGAAGATTATACTGAATATAGCATGCAGAGGAGCCATGCATCTGATGCCCTATACTTGCATACCTGCGTTGAATATACTCGGTAGAGCGAGAAGTGAACCCTGGTTGCCCAGTCGGTATTGTTTAGATCAGAAGCGGCGATACGAGTTGGGAGAGAAAATTTCAGGAGGTGCAGCCTTTATCAATCCCGTCCTCGATGGTATCATCAGTAACCCTTATCACGCGAGCCCCCTGGTCGGCTCATTGTGTGCTTTCTGAGGGACCCGGACAGGGGAATTGCGAAAACCATATCAGTACGAGGGACATCACAGAATGCTCTTTCGTCAAAGAAAAATGCGTGATCATTATTAAACACCAGCAACGCTGGCTTTAACCCCTCTCAGGTACGAATGGGAACAATTATATGGAGGTAAACACAGCTACTAATAACTGGGGACCGCAAGCGGCCTTGGGTACCCCCACCCGAGGGCCGTATGTCGCAGCCCGCCAGCGCCCGCGAGGCTGAGGCCGCGGACGGCCCGGGGATCCTCCAACCGTCCAACCAACCACGGCAACCAACCTATCTTGGAAACCTAGCATCTTTCATTGGACGTCAGTTTATGGTCTTGCTATATGCCTTACGCTAGCTAACTTGCTACATGACCCAATAGCCTTCAGAATCACTTCGGAATCACCGAACCACCTCATTGAGCACAAGTACCTTTTGGTAATACTAGGATCATGTGCCAGCCTCACAGGTTTATTCAACCAATCGGTATATAGGCTTTTTAAATCATCTCTATTGGCGCACTTTAAAGACAACATGGAGATAAAAGTGCGTAATCCTGGATGCAGGCATGCATGCTTATAGAATATGGCCACGCCCTTTATGTATGCTTACAGCACTATTCTATATACCTGGTTCAGACCCTGTTCTCACCTCAATATCGCTCACGATCAACGAAAAAGTTCGCCAAATTAATGACTAGGCAGAGGAGAAATGCATAGCATTTTCGAACTTGACCTTGTCTAGGTCGAACTGGAGTGAGAATGTTTTGGATACAGAGTTGCTACCGAACCAGGATTGCCTGAACAGTACAGTATCTCGCGAAGCGCGTAAAGCAAAAAGAAGGTGTGCCAGTCGGTCGTACTAGTCCTCCACCCAAATTTTGGCCTTGATGAAGCCTCTCAGTCTCATTAGAATAAAAACTGAATTGCACACCACAAAATTTCCATTTGTGTCAAGATGTTGTTTGATATTTCTCGGTTAAAGCAAAACTAGAACCTTTCAAAAACAACAGGTAACCGCTATTCCAGCTGCCTGAAACGCTGGAAAACCACAGGTCCTAAGTTTTCGATGACTTCTCGTAATTGACCATCTGCCATCAGTGCCAGAGCATCCCGTCCACTTTTCGTGTGCTCCTCCAAGACACCAAGTCTATGAGCAACAATGATGACAGTATGGCCTCTATCGGTGAACTCTTCGTCGATGATACGATGGATGGTGGATTCCGTGACAGGGTCTAGGGAGGATGTAACTTCGTCCAAGACGACCACGGGCTTCACTCCGGAATGTCGTAAGGAGCTGGCTTTCACAAGTGCTCGACAGAGCGCAAACAGTTGACGCTGCCCTACAGAGAGCTCCTGAAATATTGAGACTTTCTGGTCGAGGATTGGATGTTCACCAGAGCCTGGGATATTGATGACGGTGGCTGGCTCTCCCCCAAAGTACGTGTGGCCTTCGAAGAAATGGGACCACAATCCCACTTTGTTCAATGCAACAACGAGGGTGTCGTCTGATATTGACTCATCCGGGCCTAAGTTGAAGCGCAAGGTCTCGTTCGGCAACAACAAAGGGTCTTGAGACACTGCAATGAAGCACCGTCGTCGTAGGATATCTAGCCTCACCTGCCTGATATCAACACCATCGAGCTGGATCTGGCCGAATTGTAGCTCCAGAAGCCGTAGGAGCGAGAGGAGTAACGTGCTTTTACCGCTAGTATGTAGAGTGAGCCGAGCCTTCGGATATACAAGCCGTACCCTATGCAGTGACTCACCTGCCTGTGCGCCCGCACACGACGAGTTTCTGCCCCGCAGTAACATTCAGGCTCAGATTTCGTAGGGCAATCGCCCCCGACCTACATTTTGCACTTGTCAGCGATGTGGGCAGAGTGCATCCTGACAAGATACATACTGGTAAGATGCGGTGATATTTTTGAACACAATATGTCCCCTGGAAGGCCAATTTTCGGGGGTTTTTGAGTTCCAGCCCCTCCCACCCTCAACCGCGGTCGACTTTTCAAGCGTTTTCAATCGAGCAATTGCACCCAGAGAAGTCTCTAGCGTAGTCCAATTCTCTACAAGTTTTAGTAATGTTGTGTTTGCTACGAGCATAATGTTGAGCGCGATTCCGACTTGTCCACCGCTGACATGCCCGCGGAAAGCTACAGCTATAGCAACAACACTCGTTGCAACAGCCGCCCCCAAGAGATCTAGGACGAGGTTGAGCCACCTCTGGAGGCACAGAAGGAGGTACTCTGGACGTTGAGAGTTATCCACGCTTCGGATGTTGTCCTGTATTGCAGTCCTGGACCAACCAAACGACCGTATAGTTTCGAGACCCTCGGCCTGGCAAAGCAAGATTAGCTGGGCACTATCATCAGCGTTTGAATACCTACGCATTCCAAAAAATTCAAGAAGACCCCTGCGCGGGACTCAAGCTCTAAAAACCGGAGTTGTCTCGATGTCCGAAGATAAACCTTTTGTACGACATAAACCAAGAGCATACAGGCCGGTAACGACATTGTGAGCCATTTTTCGGCCATGCAAAGAAGTATGACCTGCATGAGGAGCTTGAAGATTTCTGGCAGCGTTGTCACCTAAAGACCTTTCTGGAAGAGGGAAATCTAATACATACGAGTTAGAACGGTTTGAAGAGCTGATGGCAACTGCTTATCAATAAGCTGGATATCTTGACTAAATCTAGAAATCATTAGCATTAACAGAACCATCAAAAATAGACCCTTACCGGTTTAGGGTTGAGCCATTATCAGTTTTAGAAAAGTACGACAGAGGCGCGCTATGTATGATTAGCCATCTCTTAGATCAAAGTGTCAGAGTCTTCAGTATAGAGCATATATACCTCATCACGATGTGCAATAGACGTTGATGCAACCGCGATCCAGACTGCGGAGCAAGTCGGATAAGAATGGACCTACTTGACTTTCAATGATAACGAACAGCTGGACATATCTTGAAAACTTACCACATCTGAGCGCTGGTTGAGATCCACGACAGGGTTGATAGAATGAGAAATCCACTGACATAGAAAGCGGTGTTTCTGCCACCCAACTCTGTCCACAACCGAAGCCAGTACTGCGGGATAGTGATGAAGAAAGCATATAATACAGTGCTGGTGATAAGGAAAAAAATGTTCTCAAAATCAATGAAACTCAGATAATAACCTACGGTTGTATTAGTCGTGTCCATGAGTAGTGATAGCGAATTACCATATAGAGCGGGATCTCCAGTTTGTCGTGCTAGGTCAATTTCGGTCTCGTCTTTTGCTCGCAATTGTGCACTGAGTTCATCAAGCTTTGCAGAGAGGAGGGCGTTGTTGACTTTGGTGTGGTGGCTGGAAGAGAACTTTGCTATGGATGCAGCTTTGATCTTGATGTTCTGCCAATTCCCTTGATCTATGATTCGATGGTCTCCAAGGACCACGATATGATCCGCAGCTTGGAAATACTGAGCTATCCCGGAGTTAGGCCGTGAAACCGAGGCCGAGAAAGTGCGAACTTACACGAATTAGAGACCAGGACTACAGTGGTCCTCAACCGTCGGATTATGCCTGTGATCCCGAATAGATTATCAAAGATGGCTTGCTCCGTTTCGCCATCCAGTCCACTGAAGGTGTCGTCCAGCAGAAGTATATCACGCCTTGCAAACAAAGCACGCGCGAGTGCCTGCAATCAACTATGAGCTTAGTCCATACCTAGCAGTCCTGAGAAACTCACTACCCGCTGCCTTTGTCCTCCAGACAAATTGAGCCCCCCACTGCCAATTCGCGTCCGATCTCCATGAGGAAGGGAATTCAGGTCATGAGTAAGGCAACACAGTCTTGTTACCTCATTGTACCATCTTTCATTATCTTTGTCACGAGCACTGTAAAGGTCAGAAGCACCGTAAATAATCTCTTTGATAGTACCATTAGGTAGCCACGTTTTCTGGGCACAATAGGCTGTCTGACGTGTTGACAGGCTAATTGACCCTTGGACTGGAATTACTTCCCCAAGTATAGCGCGCAACAAAGTGGATTTGCCGCTACCAGTAGGACCAGATATTACAGTAAGTGATCCAGCGGCTACTTTAATGTCGACATGCTCCAAGACAAGCTTTTTATGGCCAATCTTCAGTTGCCGGATTTGAATAGCAGTGCTAAAATTGCCAGATGCCGGGTCCCAAGGCAACCTGCTCATAGTACCTTTCGGCAATGTTCCACGATGAGCCTTTAAAGATTGCCGGAGCAAAAATGCTTGGATTCGTTCAAATCCAGAGAATGCTGCCACAGCGCGTGGCATAATAGTCATGATCATATTTGCAGGATGTGTAACCATGCTTAAGATGGCCATGGTAGTGAAGGCAGTTTCTGTATCCAGATTGCCGCCACGAGCAACTGATATCAGCGCAAATATAACCAGCGTGATAGCTGGAGAGAATATACCGAGGGCGTTGGCTATACAGATGTAAGCTTACACATATCTGTCAACTTCATTCAGTGCTCCTGACACACCTGAGGCGTTATAATATACCATTATCCACCTGAGTTTCGACGCTGCCCAGAGCTCCCCTTCCCGAAGCTGTTGAATGCGATGGGTCAATTTGTGTTGAAGTCCAAGCATTTTGACATCTTTCATTGCGCTTAGCACAGAGGTGGTAGCGGCTATGCGGCTTTGCGTTGCGTTGCTCCAAGCCTTTTGGCGAGGCTGTAAATGCTTTGCAACAAAACGACTCATGTACGAACATACTACACATCTTAGTATCAACAAGAAAGTCATGCAAATATACTTACAATAGATCAAAAAGAGAGGAAGAGGCCAAATCCAACCAACTTCACTAGCTAGAAGTCCAATACCAATTAGCACTTCAATGACTTGGGCCCACGTTTCGTGGACCATTTCAGCGATCCCATCAAGACTATCTGCATCAGTGCTCATGAGTGTGGTGGCTTCGCCGTTATCATAAGCAATGCTGGGTGACTTCATGGTCTTGTCATGGATAAGCCCCACGAGGGCACTCCTAGTCATAAGTTTCAGCTTGTTTATAGAGTGTTGGTACACAGCGGTTGACAGCTTGAGTGGAATGTTAGCGCAAGCAAGAAAGACCGACGATCAGACCTTACAGCAAGGGAAATATAGATGAACACTGCTGAGACAACGAGCCAGTATCCATGGTTGCTTTCTGCACCGGCAGGATATGCCACAGCATATCTGATACACTCTTTGATCAAGGTAGGCTGAGAATAGCGGAAGAGTATCAAGAATAATCGAGGTATAACAGCGGCGAGAAATGGTTTCCACAGGCATCTCATCAAAGCGATAGGCAAACTCTTCTTGGTTTCAGGCTTGGCTAGTCTTGTGAGGAATAGGATGGTAAGTGATTTGAGATTCCTGACTAACCTCGCTGAGACCATGCCTGCAGTATTGCCTTTCGTGTGAACTCTGGCTTCATGTCTTGACCAAGGGGCGGTGAATCTTGGTTGACGAGGATGCCCCTGTACCCTCGAAGAAGAATTGGATTTATCCACATGAAAAGAACCCTACCCAAGACACCATAGAGTTCCTCTGGAGATTGTTGATTGTTGAGCTCACTGAATGCTGGGCGCCCCTTGGCGCAACATTCAAGTACGAGGAGTGCTGAGTGTATGTAGCAACGAAGAAGGACCGGACGCGAGATATTCGCGTATCTAGTGATCTTTGAAGGCGTAGCCAAGTGGATTGCATCACACAGTATAGATGAGAGAAGGTATAGTGTAGCGAGATCTGAAGGCCTTTGAGACCGCTGTTGCTCCTGGAGCAGAAGCACACTCAGGCCCAGGGCAGCAGGTATAGAAGCGAAAAGTGATGTCAAAAAAATGGCTTTATGCTGAACATCCAAGCTTGAAACCTTCATACAATATGAGGACAATATGAGTGAAAGCAATACCCCAAGACACTAAGGCCGTTCTTCTTGTGAGCTATAGACTTCAAAAACTTGGAGAGAAGGGATACTGACGGTCTTGAAGCGACCTTGCCAGGTTGGAGTGTGGCTAATTTTAGAGTTACGAAGCTTCCAAAGTCGGACAGGGAGAATCAGTAGAAATGTCGTGGCACAGGCTGAAGATACAGCGTGCAATACACTCGTCGGCTCTGGAGCCATTGTGGCGGGCGTGGGAGGTTGCGGTTGAGATGAGCAGCGAGTTGAAGGTATTCTCATCAATTTGTGACATTTTTCTCAAGGATGAGTACAACGCTTGTTCAAAGGTACGGGACAAGCAGTGAGCAGAAGGCCAAGATACTGGACGGAGGCGTCTCACAATGCGCCTCACTAGTCCCGGTTGGAATACAGAACACTAGTTGGTAAAACCAGTTGACGCCCTTGTCTTTCCTAGCGCCTTGCAAATTGTGACAGTGTCCTGTCTGGACTTGTGAGCAGGCTACCTATAGGCTGCGACATGGATGCAAGGGGTTTCATGAGTGGACGATGAGGCATGCATGCTTACGGGGCCCACAGTAAGCCAACAGTGACGCTTACGGAAATCAGTATTTCCCATCGCTAGGTTCCTCCTTGTATCAACAGCTATTGAACCCTTGGGCTTTTGATATCTGAAATCCCGAGTTAAGAAACATTTTACTACGTAGCTGTTGCGTCTGAGTGGACGTGTGTCTTGGTCTTGGCCTGCCGGTTGAGCATCGGCCCACCACATGATAACTAGTTATTGGCTAACGCTGATGCGAATAAAGTCCCCGATAAGCAAGTACACTATGGATCTAATATGTAGAAACTCCGGTGCTTGTTGGAAATCTCTAACGCAGAGAGTCAACAGATCAAGTGTCCGGACTGCTCATCAAATACCACACAGTCCGCCTGCTGAAATGGTCTAAGAGCAGAAAGGAGGGAAATTTCTGTGCAAATCAGTTCTGGCGCTGAACGAAGTTGATATCAGTGTTTCGCACAATACTGAAGTAAGATTTGTCACATTCAATTATAGATTGGTAGTTAATTGAGATCCTGGCTCCAATAGTTCCTGTATTCTTCTGGTAGTGTCGAATGGGACAGAGATGTCAGTCATTCAGTCATCAACAGCAACTTGGGATTTGTCCCTTTGTCAGTGAATGAATGCTATAAATATACTTTGGCTTAAGTCGAAATTTGAAACACTGGAATGGTGAGCTAAGTGTCTAATGATGCTTCAAGCTGTGTTGACATCTTTTGATAGGCCCAGGTCCCCAACTCGCCTTGTCTAAAGCTTTGATTGATACTGCTGGCCTTTAAGCGCTTGTATCTCCTCGACAACTTTTCTCGCACTCACAATGGCAAAACAGCCGCGGTCAGTGTTGGATTACACGCATTTTGCGTCGGAATCACACCGCAACCTCCAATGAACAAGTTTTCCAGCCGCCAAACCTTAGAGTCTTTATCCACCACCGAGTGTCCATCATCTTCCTTTCCTGCCCGGGTGGTCCCACAAATATGCGTTGCTGCGCCTGGAGCAAGAAATTTGGGCTTGCCACCAGGGATAAAATCTCCAAGCTCAGCGGCAATGTTTATCATGCTGCCAGGCGAAAATTCAGTATTCGATATCCCTATGCGTGATGGGCACCAAGTTCAAGGGAAAATAACTCACTCTTGCATCATGGCTTGTACGCGTTGAGCATCTTCATCCCCGATACGGTAGTGTATTATTGGCTAAGGATATGGTAAGAAGCTATGCACGCAGTACGGGAACTTGAAATGGTGGCCTTACTTGAGGCATGCCGAAAAGGTCAGTGATCTCAGGTGAGAACTCGACATAATTATCATAGACAGGCATGACATATCCAAAGAATCGCAGATCAATTATCAGTCGCGGATCAATTGAGGTTGGAACAGTGTTGTAATGGAATGGATCGCGCTGGATCTGCGTGTGCCACGGATAATCCTCAGAAACGGGGATGGTGATCTGTAATATAAATCGTTAGCACTCCCACATTGTAGAGAGCTTGAACTAGACAACTGAAATGCTGTACCTCAGGAGGAGGACCATTAAAAGAAATGCGTAAAGGATCCTCAGGAAACTTTCGGAAGTGTTCTCTGCAGCGTTGATCGTGCCACATGCTCTGTATTAGGCTCTTTTTCAACGCAACCTGACAGACAGCCAGGGTCTGCTCGGTTAAATATCGCCCCTATTATAATTAGATATACCATCTTAAAGTGTGTTCAATGAGGCAGTACCAAAGCTGGGTACCCTGTTTCTGATTGGCTATGTGAATTGAAAAGGATTCCAGCGGTGAGGATTGCTCCAGCACAGATGATATACCTCTTTGCTCTTGCTAACAATACTTCGTTCGTAAGCATATCAATAAGCTCAGTCCCTAGTGTACGCTTTGATGCAGCATCTAAGAGCAGCCTGGTACATTGATGCTGAGCCTTCAATTTAAAGTTGCCACCGTTATACGCTGGATTGGCAAGCTCTTCGAGAATTGTGGCTGGGCCAGTCCATCGCACATATTCTGGATTACTTGTACTTCGCTGGCATGCCAAGGGTAGGTTCGCAACCTCTCGACCCTTGTGTGCCCGAATGAGAGTGTCCTTGACGAGTTGGTGGCGGAGTGAATGGTCAAAGTCTCTGTCAGTAGTATTTTAGTAGTATGAAAAAGAGCCCTAGCTTGGCCATATAGGCTTGACCATTCCTCATCAGAGAAGAGTTCGGATCCTTCAATAATGGGGTGCTGCTCGGGTGTAGCACAGTTCCAGTAGGAGCCCATACCTCCGACCTCCCTGAGTACTGGAGCAGCGGGCAGATCGTTGTGAGGTAGTCCATCGGCGCCTCCGATAGACGACACGACATCTGGGAAACTGGGGATAGTCAGGTGGCACCTCAATAGTTAGAACGAAACATACCGTGGAACATTATCCAAAGAAGCAGGTGCTGCATTGGCCGCTTCTGACAGTAGGCCCAATGCTCCCTAGGAAGACATAAGACTAGTCCAGATTTTCATAGCTGCACGGCATACCTGGACAGTGCTATAGAAGCAGGAACATATCAACTTGTGCGTACACTGGCGTCATCCCTTCCGATGCTTACCTAGTGAAATGAGCACTACCACTCTGTACCGCGATACTGTTCTTCTTGTGATCACCAAACAACCTTGTCTTCCTAGTGCAAAGGATCAGAGGTGCGGACTAAGTTCGGAGGACAAACAGCGTTCGCTTACTGCTCCCCCATATCAACCATGAGCACATTGATGCTTTTATCAGCGTCGATGATGGTCCTGGCGTATACCACACCAATAGGGCCGGACCCAACGATCAGCACATCGGCCTCTAAGGCTCATCGTCCATCGACTTCGTTGTAAGCACTCATACTGCTTGGCCACTCCGGTTTTGTGGTGCGTAAGACTGTGTCCAATTTCTTTCTGTTCAAAATTTTGGCAAATACAAGGGCTAATATACATGCTGGGGCCTCTCAGGTTCCAAATAAAGTCTGAGGTGGCACACCAGTGCATTCTCACGTAATCAATAAGCCAATAACTACTAGTTAGTTAGCCAGTGGGAAACACAGTGATTTTGGCAAATCTCTCTTCTGATGAGAGCAACCACTTCTGGCGTCTATTGAACCAGGAGTTGCCCAAATACCTAGATTCAGGAGCAACTATCGTCTTAGAGAGTTTTAATCCTGATCCCAGCCTGCTTGACAGGGTAGCCTTGGTATCTCTCTTTGGTAAGGGCAACACCGGACTAAGGGCTCATATGTTCTCGCTGACCCAAGCGTCTTAGCTGAACGGCCTGAGCTCTACCCTGGTCTCTTTAATCGGCCAAACACCCAATTTATCAGTGCAAAAGCAACAAGTATAGTCGTGGTCGATGAAGGATCCAAGTCGTACGAACAAGTCGCCTCCAAACTATTGGAGAGTTCCGCCTTCCGTCGCCTGAGGCCGGAGTCTACCAACGCCGTTTTCGTTCGAGATACAGAGTTTCTCCATTTCAAGGACACGTTTAGTACCCTCTCCGTGGATCCGGGCCCCGAACCCGCCCTCGCAAAGACTCTGGATCAGATCGAAGCGTTGTCGCGACTTTCCCCGGCCGTGTATTCGATTGCGCTTTCAGCAATGTTAGGTCGGACAAAAGAGGTTGATATCAATACTGTTTTTGATATGGCCGATAGTGCCAGTGTATTACTGGTCATATCGTACCGATCGATCGACCAAGTAATTGAGGCTTTAAATGACCTTAAGCAACCGCCAAAATTCTTAACATTTCTGGCCCCGAACACCAAAGAAAACAGTGACTACTTCGAAAAGTGGACGAAGAGCGAGTTCTTCTCCCTGGGCTCCGTTTGCCCTGCAGTCCCTTACGGTAAGTTCCAGACTGCGTACAAACCGTCTTAGCACATGCGCACGGCTGGGCTAACCATGAAGTTCGGCAGCTGGATCAAGTACTCTGTTCCCCGCCAGGATTTTCGGAAAGACTCGTACTTGCCTCTCTGGGTCCGGGATCGAGTTAAAACAGTCCTTCGAAGATGTTGCAAAACATGTGGAGGCAAGTGTCAAAAAGCCTAAAGAGGCACCTAATCAGACATTAGATTTCTTTGGATCCATGCAACGGGTGGTTGTTGGTGCGGCAGTCTTCATGGGAGTATCGTTCAGCGGGATTTATATGTGGTATACTAAGAGGGACGGATGAAAAGCGCAGACGGCTGCTTTCCATATTCTACGTTTGACCCATGTGAAAAGGTCATTTTGTTTTGGATTGCCACTTCTCATTCCCTTGTACCTGAGCAATCTCCCGGCATTGACTTCACAGCTCAGATCGTGATTTTCAACGAATGTGCTCTCACTCCGGCGACCAACCGTTTCGGGATCAGCGCTACTCTTGGTGGAGGACTCCGAGGTACTTCCACGTTTGTGCGATTTGAATAGAGCTCGCGGAGTCACCCACAGATCTGTCTTCGATATACCTTGACTTTCACTTGGCTGAAGGGGGGATGTACGAAAGTAGCCACGCTTTTATAGCACCGCAAAACCCCGTTCTAGCGGGATAATTCAGACAGGCTAGATTTTTCAATATGATGAGGTTCTCGTCATATTAAGGACGAGTAAATGCGTGAGCAAGTAGATGCACGTGATTCAGGTTAGATTATATGTCTAAGAAGTACTACTAATTTCGAAGTGTGAGCTGTATTAAATGGCAAATAGACTTGTACCAGACCGGTCCACTTACTTGTATGAATATCTCCACAGCGTGTAATAATCGGAGTATACGGTGACTATCTTGATCAATAACAAAGGCAACTATCCTGAATCAAGACCGGGTCAGTATCAACACGTAAATAGGATTGGTTGAGGTTGTGATACCGCTAGTGGAGGGCACTAGAGCTTCGCCGATCCTGGCGTCGGTGACTATATACGGCATGAGAGCCACCAGCAGCTCTATAGACGCAACCAAAAGTTGAGTCACGCTATTCCTGTGGGCATCGATGGCTATCCAGGGCAATGATAGGATGCGCATTTTTGACAAAAGAAGAAGACCACTCAATATCAGTGATGAGTAGCCCTAACTTTCCCGCCGAGATATCAGACTGGGCTCAGCGTGCTGCCATCGCATGTCTGGGCAACGGCTGCTGCTGGAGCAGACTATGAGCCACCACAATTATTATTATTAATACGAGCATAAAGGGATAATCCTGACACTAGTGTGCTAAATATCCTTCAAAAAGAATGTGGCATGTTACAGGTGGAGGGGAATCCATCCTTACAAGCCAGCCAGCCAGACACAAGTGACTTTGGCCTTTTGTCTGAGCGTCGGGATAGTTGCAACACATGGCCCCTCAGTCCCAAGTCCCGATACGGGTTACTGGGGGGTATTTTTGGTTCGGGGCTCGTCTTACCATTCATCCGTTATCCACCCCGCCTCCAGACCGATGGCTCGTATGGGGTTAGCGGGGAACTCAGTGTGAGCCACTGGGGCACTGACTGAGAGCATCTGAGGAGAGCCTGGTACTGCTCTTCATTTCGTCCCTAATTCCTTCAGACCACCATTCTCTCCCCGCATAGAGAACCTCCAAGGTTCCATCTGGCTGACCAGGTCCATTGACACCCATCAGTCCAACATAGCCTCCTCACTGTTACAATAATTCTGCACTCTCATGTCATCTCTTCTCTTCTTCTCCCCTTCTTCTCCTGTGCTCCCCGCTGCGCCCCTGGAGCCCAATAAAGTTAAAAGGTGTACGTCATAGATTCGTGCTAGTTGATTCTCAAGTGTAAAAAAAAAAAAAAAAAAAACAACAATGCACAGCGTAAGAAAACCGGAGAAACGGCGAAGGACAGGTACGTGCAAACACCATACCTCTGAGACTCTTGCATAGACTACTAACACAGACAATGCAGGCTGGTAAGCAGCCCAGCTGATTTGAACCGAAAACCAACCAAACTCTGACTGTGAGTGATAGTACCCGCTGCAGAGCTAGCCACCACAAATGCGACGAAAAACAGCCCCGCTGTGGACGATGCCAGCGGCTGAATCTGGAATGCGAACCAGCCAATTTCATTGTCGCCTCCAACTGGTGTCAATTTGCCACAGACCCATCCGGCTTGAAAGACGAGCGCCCTGGTCCGGCATCTACTTGGGATGTATTCAATAACTCGCTAGCTCCACTTCCCCAAGCGTTCTCCCGCAAGGCACCCCGGCCAGACAGCGAGTCACCCCTGCCCCTGGACGCTGAAAAGGTTACGCTGATCCAAGCATATCAGAATGGTGTGGGAGCGTGGATGGACCTCTTTGACGACGAAGCCAATTTTCAACGGACGGTCGTCAAACGGGCCCTCCGATCCCCGCTGTTGATGAGTGCCATCTGCGCCCTTACGGCCAGGCACATCACCATGGTTGATGAAGGCGGCGAGGTGTGGAAGCCAGTAGCAGTCCAGTACTACGGAGATAGCCTGCGCCAATTGATCGGCAGCCTGGATTGTCCGACATCCTGCCCCGAGGACACTCTGGCAGCGACCATCTTGCTAAGCAGCTACGAGCTGCTAGCCTCACCAGGTCTGGACCATCGACGCCATGTGTCGGGCGCTTTAACTCTGATTCGGACTCACCGCTGTAGAGCCAGCTCCGAGGGCCTCATGGCGGCGGCCTTCTGGGTGTATGCTCGGCAGGATATTGCCATGGCATTGGTGCATGAATGTCCGACCTTGCTTCCGCCTGATGAATGGGGTGTGTCGTGGGACGAACAAGAGACCAGGGAGGGCCCCCTGGGCAATCAAATGGTTTGGCTCTTGGCCAGAGTTATCGCGCATACTTTTCAAAGCACGACTGGACAGAGTGTCCTGGCGCTTTCGGAAGGCAGAGCTAGTTTAATGAAAGAGCTAGATGTCTGGCATGAGCGCCTGCCTGAGTCATTCCGCGGCACAGCTTTTGGTCCCCCGTTAGAAGAGGGTTTCCTCCCACGATGGTTTGCGGTACCATCAACCGGTAAAGAGTCTCCCCAATACCACCTTAACTTGGAATGAACTAAAGGGGTTCAGCCGCTGCGATGTGTATGTACCATTTGGCGCACCTCCTACTACTTGCAGAGGGGTGTAATTCGTCTATCGCTGTTAAAAATAATCCGCAGGTGATTACTATCAGCCAGGCATTTCCGTTAATTGCTCTGGTTTATACTAAAATTCTTTAGTCTGATATCGACGAGCATGCACGGTCAATTGGCAGCATAGCTTTTTCGCCTATATCCGACGGTGCTCTAGTGCAAACAGTCCAGTCTCTATACTTTGGTAAGCAATAAGTACGTCAATGCAGCCGCACATAATAGGAACTTACTGCTCTACAGCTGCGAAACACATTGAATCTATTGCTCAAAAGGTTAAGATATGGGCTCTTTTAGATCGGATTGAGAGCAAACTGGGTTTTCACACGAGCGATAGAGTTAAGCAACTCACACAACAAATCAAGCTTCGTTGAACAGGAATACTCATATCATTATGGCCGTCAATCCGGGCTGAACTAGAGCATGTTTCAAATCCGAACATGATTAACGGGAGCCACGCGGAAGTCAAGGTCATTTCTCATGATGTTGGGCTGCCTATGTCTCGCCTCCAGATCTTCAGCGGCATCGGACACGTCCATAAGAGGAATGCCTCATTATGTTGCAGACTCCAACGGTCTGATGGCAGTGCAAACTCGTAACGGTGGACCAGGGTCGCAATTACAAGCTGCTGCTCGATCATGGTGATATTGCGCCCGATGCAGCCACGTGCGCCGGTTGAAAAAGGGATGAACGCCTCCCGCATTTGCTTGGCCTTTTCTTCGCTCTCCAGCCATCTTTCCGGCCGGTACAGTTCCGGTTCCGGGAAGATCGCGGGATCTCGATGGGCGACATACACTGGAACCGAAACTCCAACATTTCCGGGGATTTGCTCCCCCATAATCCGCATGCCCTGGGGCGGTGTTCTGCGCTCGAGGCCCCTTGAAACAGGAGGGGACAATCGCAGCGATTCCTCCAGGCACGCCTTTAGGTAGGGCAGGTTCTTGACGCTGGCATAGCGTGCGGTGGGTTCTTCGGAGAAGGCGCCTGCCACCTCTTTCCTGAGGGTTGCCATAGCATGCGGAGTTTTGATCAGGTAATACAGGGCATGCGTCAAGGCGATCGCTGTAGTATCAGAGCCAGCATCCACTGCAGCGACAATGTTAGATCATACCGTTATTCCACCTATAAATGGTGACTTACAGAGCACGTTTGTCTCGGCCTCAAGCTCTCCTCTCTCGAGACCGCGGGCGTTGCCCTTGTTGTCCTCCATTAAACATGCAAAGAGGTCTCCCAGTTGGTCGCCGCGCTTGTGCTTTTCCAGGCGTCTGCTAGTTAGAGCGCTGACAATCCTGCCAAAGTTTCTCCCATGGTCCCACTGCGCACGAAATTGCAGAGACGCGATGCTGGAAACAGCCTTCAGGACGGCAAACCATTCCGCTGCTCCCACAAAGAGAGAGGTGATATAGTTCCCGCCATGCAAGCTGTCAATGAACTTGAGACTTGGAATGTCGTCAACCTTGACGACGCTAGTACCCGAGTCCAGCAGATTAAGCTGTTCGCTTAGAGCCAGATCGGCGATGGCATCAACAGTAAAGAGATTAGACCAGAGTGTGAAATCAAGGGTCAAATCTTCCGAACTGACATGGTTTCTATCGGACAGTGGGGCAGTACATCTCCGATCTAGCTGAGCGATAAGTTTGCCGATTTTATCTGCGATTTTGAATTCCCATCGTTCGAGATTGCGGGTCGCAAACGCATGGGACAGCATTCGACGTTTGCGGTTATGGTCCTCCCGGTCGATCGTATTGAGGATATGAGCGTGGCTCCCTGCAGTGAGGGTGTAGACGTCGTCCTTGCGGCAGGGAGTACCATGGCCGTAGATGTCTTTGATAGCTCGCACATCCGCAAAGGAGAGAACGTTTGGTCCTACCCGAATCACGGGATGTTTTCGATGCTTGAGGTAGAGGTGTCTCGTCCGGAAATGGTTCGAATGCTCCCAGACATAGGCGAGGCTCGTTATGCCGGATAGAGGGTTCAGGTCCGGGTACTTCCGCAAGCCTTTGGCGTCATAGAAATAGACAATGAATGGTCTGGCGCAGAGGTAAGCCAAAACAACCGCGAGTATCAGCGCGAATGCCATAGCATGCCGTTCTTTATCACTGGGGGAGGAAAGGCAGTTCCTGTCGCAGTTGGCGTTTATATAGAACAGTGTTACGACTATTTATACAGCAGCTTGTTGAATTTCTCATATTGCCTTGAATCCCAAAACATGATTATCACTGTGCAGAATCATCTACAATGAACTGCTACTGCCACCTGGTCGGTCTGGATACTATCGCTTCCATGCCTGATTTGTCTGGCGGTGGTTGTACCTCACCTGAACACACAGAAAAAAAGCATGAATCAAAGGTTCTGATTTGAGCGGTTACATTGCCCAATGCGGTAATTGAAGAGCGCAGAACTTTCTATTCGGGGAATGTTAAGAGCGACCTTGCAGCCCCGCACGGCTAGATCTATCTTCTTGTTAATACAGTCTGCTACTGAAATGCCTAGTACAATACTAAATTGGGCGGGTCCAACTGTGGGATAAGGCGGGTCCTCGGACTAGGGGGCTTGAAACCAGCACACACCAACCTAGCTGGACCGAAGTCGGCATGTGTGTGACCGGCATTTACTCAAGCCGGGAAGGTGGATGGAACCTTCAAAGTATAAATCAGAGTTTCCGCGAAAATTTGTCCAAGGGAGACCAGCGTGGAAGAGCGCCTTCGTTACGTTCTCTTGCTGTTTCCTTTTTCTCACTACTCTTTGCCCTTCCTTTGGATATGGGTGGAACGGAGGGAGGGGAAAAAGGAATCCGTCGTTGTGTTCCCATCTGTTTTCTGTTTGCGCTTTTAATGGGTTGTGGTTATATAGAGAGTACACAAGATAAAAAGGAAGTCGGGACGGGCACCACTATCATTGGACAAGTATCCAAGGAGATCCTGCCCTTCGGACTTCTCCGTACAGCCACAGCAGTTGGACAGATTCCTGGTTGAAAATCCGCGGAGTTCTGACGCCCGACGCTATGGTGACTTCGCGGAAACCTTGCCTATGTGCCAATACAGTTTACCAACCATAGTAAAAACAGCTTTATGTTGGACCCATTCATCGTTGAACTAACTGGCTCGAACAGTCCAAAAAGCTAAAGTGCCCATCAGGAGTTTATTAGTAGGATACGGTCTCCATGGAGTTTTGAGTTCGGTGGCGCATCTCAGCAGCGCCGGGGCCGAATGGTACATATTAGCACTTTGGCTCTAGGAGACTTCATGTTTGCCCATCACGGGGTCCTTTTTCCCCATTCACCTGTCGCGCTTGCAGGGTTTGTGGAGGACGGTGGCCCGTGGCAAAGAGCAGATGTGCGGAAAATATGGGGAAAAGAAGCGGAGTGAAAATAACTCATGATTAACACCACACAAATGGATGAATCCCCGCGGACCCCAGACAGCAGCAGTAATATATATACTCCTAGGTTGATGCCCTATTCCCTCCATCACAACCACAGCTGACTGACCGGGGACAACCCTCACCATCTGAAGCTCACGTTCAGGAATCACCCATCTCAGCTCCCGCTTGCCTGAGTTCGGGCTATCATCAATATGTATATCTTGTTTCTGAGCTTATACTTGTGCTTTAGCTGACGATTATTCTTCTAGGATGGATGAATATACGCAGACTGGCCAGGCAACCGAGCGGATCCTTGATGAGTAATTCCCCCCAAAAAGCACACCAATCTCTTCTGCATTTTCCCTTTGTCACCTGCTGTGGGAAGCACCTATTTATTTTAACATATTCCAGCCTCGAAAACCCCTTGGCACGGGTCCCAAAGGACAGACTGCTTCGAGAAGTGGAGGAGTACGCTCAATCGTACGACTTGAATGACATCCTTCCTGAGCTGAAGAAGGGCGCATTGGCCGCCCAGAGGCCAGGCGATTTCGACAATATCGAGGAGCTTACCGCCGAGGAGCGTCAGTGCCTACGGGAGGAAGTGACCCATCGCTGGAAGCACCCCTGGGCTCTGTATTATACTGTTGTGCTCAATTCCATTGCCGCAGCCATCCAAGGATGGGATCAAACCGGTACGGGTATTTCTAGTGCCTCTTGCTACCGGCATGCTCAACCTCACTTTTAGGTTCCAACGGTGCCAACCTCACCTTCGCGCAGCAGTTCGGCATTCCTCAAGATGGCTGCTTGACTCAAGCAGAGTGCACTCGTAATCAGTGGATCGTGGGAGTGATCAACGCCATGCCTTACATTACCATCGCGCTCTTGTGAGTTTCCGCCCTGAGATGGCTTGAACGCGTTTTTGCTGGAAGAATATCCAATCTAACGTTAAATTCGCAGTGCTGGCTGGATATCCGACCCTCTCAACCACTGGCTGGGCCGCAAGGCTGTCATTGCAATTGCCGCCGTGTTCAGTTTGGTTGCCCCCATAGCATGCGCATTTACTCAGAACTGGCACCAACTCCTGGGCTGTCGTATACTGTTGGGAATTGGTATGGGCTTGAAGGAGGTCACTGTCCCTGTTTATTCCGCGGAGAACGTACCCACTAGCATCCGTGGAGGCTTGGTCATGTCCTGGCAAGTCTGTAAGTGTTCACTTCTCTCTGGATCATTCTTTTCGCTTAGGGTCCTCTTCTGGTTTAACATATTCTATCCAGGGACTGCATTTGGCATCTTCCTCGGAACTTGTGCGAATCTTGTTGTGGTTAACACTGGCCACATTGCCTGGAGGCTACAGCTTGGTTCAGCTTTCATTCCCGCTGTTCCTCTCCTGTTGGGAATTTGGTTCTGCCCTGAGTCTCCCCGTTGGCTGTTGTCAAAGGAAAACCCACGCAAGGCATATGAATCTTTACTCCGACTGAGAAACAGTCCATTGCAAGCATCTCGCGATCTCTACTATATCCATGCGCAAATCAAAATGGAAGCTCGCCTCCTCCGGGAATCTGAATTCACAAAGGGCGGCAATACCCTTGCACGAGCCCTGGAATTATTCACGGTCCCTCGAATTCGCCGGGCTACACAGGCTTCTGGCATTGTCATGATTGCGCAGCAAATGTGTGGAAGTACGTGAATCCTCTCAACAGACCCCCATTTAGTGACAAATCATGACCATGGCTCATAATGCAAACAGTCAATATCATCGCGTTCTACTCATCCACAATCTTTGAGCAAGCCGGCGCCACGAACATCCAGGCCCTGCTGGCTTCCTTCGGCTTTGGCTTGGTGAACTTCCTCTTCGCCTGGCCAGCTGTCTGGACCATCGACACGTTTGGTCGTCGTTGGCTCTTGCTCGCCACCTTCCCCAATATGTGCTGGACCCTGCTCGCTGCCGGATTCTGTTTCTGGATTCCCACGAGTAGTAGCGCCCATCTAGGTCTGATCGCCCTGTTCATTTACCTGTTCAATATCTTCTACTCCCCCGGAGAAGGGCCCGTCCCCTTCACCTACTCAGCCGAGGTCTTCCCTCTGACTCACCGCGAGATTGGCATGGCGTGGGCAGTGGCGACCAACAATTTCTGGGCAGCCGTGCTGTCTCTGACGTTTCCGTACATGCTGCGTGACTTCAAGCCACAAGGAGCTTTTAGTTTCTACGCAGGATTGAATATTCTTGCTCTGCTTCTCATCTTCTTCTTCTTGCCAGAGACAAAGCAGCGCTCTTTGGAGGAACTCGACCGGGTTTTCAGCATCTCGACCCGTGCTCATGCCAAATACCAGTTGACCGAAGTGTTGCCGTGGTGGATTCGGCGATATTTATTCGGGCGCAAGGATGCAGTCGTTCGTGACATTTATGGCCACCTCTCTCCTGACCCCGTTCTGATTTTGGAGAAGCCCGAAAAGGAGGAGCACCTTGAATCGGTATGAAGAAGAGTGATGCAGTTTGGTTTTAAGGGGAGATTCCATTTAACACGTTGAGAGAGCGTGATGGTATGTATGCAAATATTGTGAATATCAAATCAATAAGAACCAGATACAATGACCTTTGTTTTATAAATTTGGACCCAAAACCACAGCGGTTTCGGTCTAACTAAGGTTGAACTCGCCTGAACTCGCACCAAATGCAACTCTATACTTAAACCATCTTATAGAGGGAGGTAAATAGTATATTAATAATAACCTTACTACTATAAGTATCTATACCTTATACTCTACAGCCTTTACAGAACTAAAGAACTAAGTCTATAAAGTATATAAGAGGAATAATTAGGTATAGATAAAAGAAGCCTGCTAGAGGATAATAACTAAATATATTAAAGTTATAGCACTGTGACGCATTAGGCCTAAATTACTAAAAATCTAAAATATAAAGCTATATAAAGTACTATTAGCTATAGACTTTAATAATATTAACTAGAATACTTAGACTAAGAACTTCTAACTTATAAGATAGATTCTCAGTAATACAGAGAATAAGTATATTCTATAGTAGGTTAGGAAGAAGGGTTAATTTAGGAATAATATTAAGCCTCTTAATAAGGCCTTTCTTTATAAGATTATAATAGGGGAGAGGCTAGATCTAGCAGCCTCTAATACTATATATAATATTCCAGGAGAAGAGGAGAGGGTTATAATTAAAGTAGAAGATGGATTTACCTAATTTAAGTTATCATTACAGGCAGAATTTATTAACACTATACAGAGAAACCTCTCTACTAAAGAAGTCTATAATATTATAATATTCCTATCTCTATAATGCATATTTTTATTAAGGTATTAAATCTAGACTTTATTTAGGAAGATTCAGTAGTGAATTTTAAGGATGTTACTCTAGAGTTAGTAAAAAATAAATTAAAATAGGAGGAGTGTTAGCCTGTTAGGAGGTTATTATAAATTAAGGTTAGGAAGAACTTTGCAGATGAAGGGGTAATATTCAAAAAAGATTTCATTACATTCATTATTTTATGGGTTTTTCTAATTTAGCGAAATTCAAGGTCAGCATAGAAGGCCTGTCATAGCATAATCAAACCTCAAAGCTTCAATTCCCATATTCTCATACTTTTTCAACAATGTCATCAATTGTTCGCCAAAGTGCCAGAATGAGCAAGTTCACGACATTAGCGAGAATGTGATAATCCTGGCGATCCGGATAAATTTCATCGAAAATGTCTTGCTTCCTCGTCTCCAAGATTGTAGTCATGGCACTGTACTCGCTAGTCTGGTAGATGCGGTATTGGACATCATTAGTACAGCCATCATTTGGACAACAACAACACTGATCAGGAGATAAGATCCCTATTGCTATATAATCAGTCATCATTGTCTGAAAAAGCTCAGTGTATTGATATTTTCCATCATCATGATCACTTGCTTCTTTCAAGTGGCGCTGCGGCCTGCGAAATGCCTGATGTCTTCTGACCATATGATTATTGAATTCTCCGTTCCGTCCAATTGCTATCAGGAGTGGCATGGTGCTGGTGAAGATTGGTTGCTGGCTCTGGTGCCAGTCTATTCCAAATTCCAGTATTCAGGCTCTGGGGCAGGACACGATGATGGATGTGGTGTTCAACACCTTCAGCATGATCTTCCTACTAGGTGAGTTGAGCATTATCGTTCGGATGAACTGCGCATTAATGACTAATCGCATGCAGTCGCCACCTTGGCCAACTCTCATTTCTCGGCCCCTTGGGCGACTAACCTCTCTCCCTATACCTCATGCAGCCGCGGACCGCAGGCAAGTACATTCATCGTCTGACCGGTGCAGCAGCGTCGCCCACGGAGTCGAACCTGTTGCTTGCTGTACATGACCATGCAGTTGTCCAAGGTCATCCAGAAGATCCATGACTTGAAAGCCTACTATATAAGGTTTAAGCTCAAAGTGGAGGTCGACATCACTGCTGGATGAGAAAACAAGCCTGTGGGATGACCACGACATCAGCCAGAGCCTGCAGTATATGCTAGAAAGTGTCCCTACAGTCAATAACATGTTTATGCATCTAGATGATGATTGGTAGAATTTTCTCAGCCATATGAATCAATAAGAGCTCTGAAACCTGGCAGTGGGTTCTACTTCTGATATAGGTGATTTTATAGAGTGATCTTCCAAAGCTACAGTGACATTGAAGAACTATTTGGACTAAGCTGACTCGATTGAAGTACCAAACATCAGATGGTTTAACGATCGTACATCACACAAGTGACAGTGATAAGCATGATTTCCATCAACGAAAGCGTGTTTGTCTCGAGTCACCTTTCCTTGCTCAAAGGCTTCCAGCGGCTGCCATTTTTCTCGAGACAAACACGGAATCAGAAGGCCGCCCAGTGGCTGCCCTTTCTCAACAGAGATGTTACTCTGCATTAGATGCAGCATTTCCAGCTTCCATCGGGGCATCCGAAATCCCAGAACACGCTTCTTCTATTGGATGGACATTTGGGTTTCCAGCACATGGCGGGCCTGCTGGGGGTTCCTTGCTGATAACAACCAACTGCTCGCGCCTCGAGTGGCTCGACTGCCTCAACAGGCACGACTGACTCTGCTGCCAGAGATTCTGTGATGGTCAGTAGGTGGAATTTCAATGACATGGAGAGACGCACGGGCAGCGAGACTAGGGGATATTGTTAGTAGAGATTCTCATTGCACTTGATGTGGTACTAGTGACATACCCAAGGACGGTGACGACGACTGTAGCAAAGTACTTCATATTGAGGGAAAGGGTTCGAATATCGTTTGATAATCAGGTAGACAGAATGTAGTTGCCTGGTTGAAATCGTGGAGATAGTTATTATCGTTGTGGAAGTCCTGATCAAAAGTCAGCGGGGAGAGGCGCGATATTTATATCCAGCAAACAGGCTCGACATAGCCTTCTATCAAAGGCAAATCCAGGACGAAGTCATGTAGTCTGCAATGAATACGATCTTGGCTGATCAATCAATTCATTCTATCTCTGAAGAATAGGATTGAAAAAGTCATGCCCAGACGTTCCCCCCGCAGGTCGCAGCTCGTATCCATTGCCTTCCCTGCAGTCAACATCCTCCATTTTCCTATCTCAGTGCTATTCTCCGAAGATCCTCGTATCTGGATGTTACTGCGTTCTCGTATATGCCCATTGTCCACTTCTACCTCATCAGGTAGTAGTTCCAAGAGTTTTGAATTCCATCAATAGTACCTGTATAACCTAGTTGGACGACTTTCATGTAGTATTCGTATATATCATGTGATAAACATTTAATAATAGAAAATAAAGCGACCTTGGCAAACTTCTTGCAAACTGCAAGCCAATAGATGAATTCTCAATCAGATCAGCCCCTCATAACTGATTTGCATCCCGTATTCTCTAGCCTGTCATCAGTAAAAGCCACCCGCGCAAGTTTAGGTTCCCCTGTATTCTCTAGCCAGTCATAAGTAAGAGCCACACGGAAAGTTTAGGTTAGGTTAGGTTCACACCCTGGCACTATCTAAAAAAGTGATGGTCCGTGCAATGCAGGCAATGAATGAAAGGCTGTGAATGAATGACTTGCTCTACGGCAAAACTCCAGCAAAACCTAAGAAAAGGCCATCTATCCTAATGACTCCGAAACTGGAAGCAGATCCTAGAGAAATGGGCAAGGCTATATGCCAGATGTCTCACAAAGAAAGGAGTTCCGTGCGGAAGCGAACTGCACGGCGAGCAAAGGAGTAGAATCGCCTAGAAGGCATACAAACGAGCTCTGCAGCCAGAAAATAATCTGCCATTCCAACAAAAAGTGTACTCTGTAGTATCTAATACGTAGACTACGTAGTAGTAGTGTGGACTATGTAGTAGATACTACTACTAGGTAGTAAAAAAAAGGCCCTTGCAAGTGTGCAGCTGTCGATCATTTGCAGCCTCATTTATTGGAATGAGGGGTAAGAAGGACCGTGAGGCTCATCCTCACCTATGACTGAGGGAGGGTCCGTTGCATGTCGTGTGACGATACGAGCGCCTAATGCGACATACTTCGGAGATGACCGAGTGTCAGTCATGCGTTTTCTCCTTCTAGCTTGAAATAGTACTGGTTGCATTGGAAGTGTTCCGGAGTGTCAATAAATGCAGAAAGGTGTAAAAAGTACCCTTCTAGCTGGGGTATCGCCCATGGTACACTGTAAAGGTTCTCGTCTTTATACTCTGTAATTGTACAACATGTTAGGGGCAAGTCCAATGGACAAGTCCATTTGAATATATTTTATTTGTGCTAAATAGTACATTGCAAACATTCTCATAGACATATATTCTGTAGAGGGTAAGAGAAGCTAAACTCTCCCCTTGACCTCCTGCTCATCATACGATGATGACTTCTTATGGTGCTCCTCCACATCCAACCCCAGGATGTGGCGACCCTTATTGACTGAGATCTTATGTGAGATGTGCTTCTTGTTCTTTACAGTGTTACTAGGCGCGGTGGAAATCATGTCTAGTTCCTCTAGGGAGCGCCTGCCCAGTTATGATGGCGTAGTGTTCTTTGTTCTCCCGATTTTGTAACATGACACGAACTACTGGACAAATATACTATTGTGAGAACTTCAGACATGTGGTATTCTTCTCAAGGTAACTGTAGAATATCGTCAAGGACCAATGTGTGATCCGAGCCTGACCATGATTTGGTATACTGGCATCGGGCATGTGATAGTATTAGAGAATGAGGCAAAGGGAAGGACGGCCACAAATTTCAGCAAATTAAGGTTGATCCTCCGGAGTTCCAGACCAGTATAGGTACCGGATTTGGACCTAAGAAGAAGCATGCTGGCCACTTGGCAGCAAAGGATACTTGTTATCAGCTGAGAATTGATGATTGATACACCCACCCTCACAGTCCAGTGGCCACTTTTTTTTTTTTTTTTTTTTTTTTTTTT